ACCACTACGCTACCAGAGCTCCTTGTAGGGTGTGTTTTAAATCATTGTCTTCTGAGATACAAAAGAAACTATGTAAGCAAGTGAACAGAGAGGGGAGGCGAAATGCTGAGCCACAAGGAGATCTGCCAGGAGCAGGAGCTGAGAGACAAAGACCTTCCTCCAGAGTCAACAGAGCACATCCCCTGAATTCAGACTTGTAGCCTCTAACTGTGAGGAAAACAAATTTCTGTTTGTTAAGGCATTTATTCGCTATGTGGTATTTCTGTTGTAGCAGCACTAGTTAACCAAAACACCTTCCAAGTGGGAACTTTGTGGCATTGTGGGTTAATCCTCTGGACTTCAAGGTCGGTTTGAATTGTAAGGTCGGTGGTTCAAGCTCACCAGCCACTCCCCTGAAATCCTATACAGGGTCGCTATGAGTTGGAACCAACTCAACGGTGTTTAACAACAACAATAGTGGGAATATTAAAAGAGAAAAATTCAGATACTATTGAGCCCTGGAGTGTCACTGTAGGTAAGCACTCGGCTGCTAAATGAAAGGTCGGTGGTTCAGACCCACCAGCTGCTCTGTGGGAGGAAGATGAGGCTGTTTGCTCTTGTAAAGATTTACAGTCTCAGAAACCCTCTATAGGGTCACTGTGAGTCGAAATTTTCTCGATGGCGGTGGAATTTTTTAGTTTATTGGTTTTGTACTGTAGATAAACATTTTATAGTAATCTGTCAGTACCATTCAAGAGGGATGCCAGAATTCTAGTTCTTTCCCCTTTGGTTGATCAAGGCAGGAAAAGAAAAGTGCTATGCACACATATAGTTTGATCTTACAGTCTTTGCAATACCTCCCACTAACAAGTCTTCTAGCAAGATCCAGCCTGCAAAGAGATAACAGTGGTGAAACTCGAGGCAGCATCTGTCGTTTCGGTAACAGTAGCTGTGTGTTTATTGTGCCATCTTGAGAAATATGCTCTAAGTTGTGGAGCTTTAGTAAGTATATTAATTTCCTATTGCTGCTGTAACAAATGTATAAAAGACACACATTTCTTATTGTAAAAGTTCTGGAGGTCAGAAGTCTGAGCTTGGTTTCACTGTGCTAAAATCATGATGTTGCCAGACCTGCATTCCTTCTGGAGGCTCTCGCAGAGAATTTGTTCCTTTGTCTTATACAGCTTCTAGAAGCCTCCTGCATTCCTTACTTGTGGTGCCTTTCTCCATCTTTAAAATGAGCAATGTCGCATCTTCCAATCTCTCTTTGGTCCAGTATCCTCTCATCTCCCTCTTAAATGGACCCTGTGATTATGCTAGGCCTACCTGGATACTCCAGAATAATCTTCTCGATCTCAAGATCCTTAACTTGAATCACATCTGCAGAGTTCTTTTACCATGTAAAGTAGCTTACTTATGGCAAATAGTGGATTAAGGCAGTGGCATCTTGAAGGGGGGTACATTCTTATGCCTACCACAATAAAATACAAACAAAAGTCAATTTTCCACAAGTTATCTCTGTTGAAATATTGTCTGTTATTAGATGTAGTTTTGTAACATCCTTTAGGGTGTTCACACATGATATTCTACTTCAGGTGGCAAAAATGTACTGAGTGGAGCCTTCCATCTCTTTTTCCCTCTAATCACCAGGTTTGCATAAAGCACTCTTGTACAGGAAACAAAAGTTAAAGCCATGCTTGAATAATTTCTATGTGCCAAGGATTGGGCAGGGCACTTTACATACATTGTTCTATTTGATCATCTAAGCAAATCTCTGAGCACCTTATATTTATCATGAGACCAAGAGATGTTAAACAACTTACCTGAGATTGCAGTTAAAAGAATCAGAGGTGCCATTAGAGTCTTGTCTGTCTCTTTTTTGCTTTATTTTTTTGAATTGTCAGCATTACATGTTGCTGTTATTAAGTGCCATTGAGTAGGTTCTGACCCATAGCAACTGTGTATAGGGTTTCCAAGGAACAGCTGGTGAGCTTGAACTGCTGACCTTGCAGTTCAAATCGACTTTGCAGTCCAGCTCATTATCCCACAGCAGCACACCAGGACTCCACATTCATGTAGAAGTAAGATATATACAAAGCAACAAAACTACAAACCATTTCTCAGCTTGTTATATTATTTATAATTTTTATTCTGTCAAGATTAACATTAGATATTATGAGGCTATGATATTAGATATCTACAACTTAAAAATCATTATAAACTAATGTTTCTTATATATTTCTTAAAGAATTCTTTATAAGTCCTAACATAATTGTCATATAATACTTCAAGATGACCACACTTTTTCTACCATACCACACTGTGCCTTTCCATGTCTTGCCTTCTTGAGGGAACATACAGAGAATATGTAGTTAAGTTGTTAATTGCCATCGAGTTGGCTCGGACTCATAGTGACCTTATTCACTACAGAATGAAACACTGCCCAGACCTGCCGTAAACTGACAGGTGGTGTGATATGGTTAAGTAGAAGTGTGTAATTCAATGCCAACATAAGTAAGTGCTGACTATGTGAGGATTAGAGAGAAGAGATATTACTATATATTGACCCACTTGGATAAATTACTATATATTGACAAAGATAGGAATTGAAGGAAAAACTTGCAAAGATACAAAATCTATTTAACTGATATAGAAAGCAAGATACATTGGCCTTTCCCAGTCAATATTTAGTTTAAAATACTTGGTGTATGTGTATAATAATAGATAATCCTAGAGATATTTTGAAATGAAGTTGGTAAACTAAGAAATTAATGGTTTCTCTGGCTTAGTTGATCTTTGATAAATCAATCATGCTAAAGTCTGAGGGATATTATAAACAAACCTCTAACTATATGGCCCCTCTTCCTTCATTGTAAAATATAAGAAAGCATATCCTTATTCTCTTATTAGTGCAGTATAAACTCTGAATAATATTCCGCTGTTATGTAATAATTATAAGTGCCTCTTGTTTTCCTGCTTTCACTCAGGACAAGAAAATAATTGGTTTTGATTACAAATTGCTGAAAGGCTCCCAAAATGAAATGTTTTACTTAGAAAGTTAAGTCATTACTTGAGTGTCTCTAGAACTGGAAATTCACTGTATACATTTTTATCTTGGGGGACACTTAATTACTGTGGATTACAGAGCAAGAAGAGGAATTAAGTAACGTTTCAAATTTTATTCCACATTTCATGTGTGCTTTATCTACGTGTTTAGGTACCCAAAGGCTTACCTTATTTCTCTGTGGATTTTGGTCTCCAAGGAGGGTTTGCCCATGTCATTGAAGATCAGCACAAATTTCCTCATTACTTTGGAAAGGTATGCTCTCTATTTGATAAAATACCAATGTTTTGCAAATTAATACCCCTTTTCTTTCGAAGGGAAGTCAAAACTTCAGGCACAGTTTGAAGTGAGGTCGATGTAGAAAGTAAATATAGAAACAATTAGTAAATAATGATTCAAAATATTTATCAGTGTCAGGAATGTTACTTTGGGACCAAATACTTGTTAGCAGTGTCACTAGTAACCCTAATATTTTCCTTTGGAGTCAGCCAGCTGAGAATGACGGTAATTGCTCACTAACACTTATTAAAGGCTTCTAATGTTCCAGGTATTGTTGAAAGGACCCATTTAATGGTCACAATAACTCTTATTATGTAGGTATTGTTATTGCTTTCATTTTATGCTTGAAGAAACTGAACTATAAAGAGGTTATGTTACTTGCCCAGGGTAATGGTGCCAATGAGTGACAGAGTTGTGGGTACACACAGTCATGGTTGAATTGGAGAACAAGCAGTCTCACATCTTCATTTATGTTGTTGTTGTTGTTAAGTACCATGGAGTCGGATCCGACTCATAGCAACCCTGCACAGGGTTTCTGAGGCTGTAAATCCTTATGGGAGCAGAACGTCTCATCTTTCTCCCGCAGAACTGCTGGTAGTTTCGAACTGCCGACCTTGAGGTTAGCAGCCCGATTTGTAATCACTACGCTACCAGAGCTCCTTTTATAGTTGAGCATAATATAGTCCAAGAAGAATATATGACTCACTACACACATTAAGTTTCTGGGAAGACATTAGAGTCTATAGCTTACAATCGCCAGGTTTTTTTCCATTACTACAGATTGCCTTCTGGAGTGTACAGTCCTTAAACTAAAGGTCTGTGGAAGTATCTCCCTTCTCCCCTCCCTCTTTCCTCTCTTATATGACAGCCTTTTCTACAAATGAGTGAGTCTCAAATCCTAAGGTTTGGAGTATAAAACTTCCTATGTTGTTGTCCTTTTTCTGTTACCCAGAATCACATGCATCTTTAAACTGTTGAGATATATTACACACTTGTTTGAAAAATGTTCAGAATGCTTTTTTTCAAGAGTTATCTAGAAAGAAATTTATTTTCACTGCTCTTAAAAATCTTATTGTTATTCAGTAGAGTTTTGTAATACAAGGCTCTATGACTAAAATTATTTTAAACTAAATGTGTTTCTGGTGAAAATGAAGGACAAAAATATGTGGCACCAGCCATTCCACCCACAGCATTCTCTCCTTATGCTGGGTTCAGTAATTCATTCCAGTGGTCACACAGAGCTCAGACACCATTCTCATAGTTGGGGTTTACTAGGAAGTGAACAGATTGCAATGTGGGATCAGAAATGCTCAGGGCACAGTTTCCAGTCAGCCATGTCCACAGGCAGGCTCCCCTCTGCCAGCCAATGCTCTTTAAGGGCTGCTGATAAATGCTCACATGACACACTATTCCACCGTAAGCTGTGACCTGAAGGCACTCAACTCTGGTTGTGTGAGTCAACAAACCTACCCACCTCTTCCTGCTTCTGAGCTGGTTAATTTTATACCCATGCTGGAGTTTCAAGTTTTTACAATTTACAGTGAACACTACGAGCATCCACAGCTGAATCCTGTCATCCTATCAGTATCTTCTCCCACCTTCCCTTACCCAGAGCCAGCAGGGCAGAAATGGTGTTTGGTGGGAGTTACTGACTACGGTTAGAAGAGACTGTAGATAATTTACTGCACCACCAGAAGTATTCCCTTTTTTTTTAAACTTTTATAAATTTCATTGAATGAGCCCTGGTGGCATCGTGCTTAAGTGCTAAACTGCATACCAAAATGCTGGTGGTTCAAACCCACTACCTGCTCCATGGGAAGAAGATGTAGCAATCAGCTCCTGTAAAGATGACAGCCTTGGAAACTCTATGGGGCAGTTCTACTCTGTCCATACGGTCGCTGTTAGTCAGAATCAACTCAGTGGCACACAACAATAACAAATTTAATTTATGCCATGGATTATGGTTGTTATGATACTGTTTTAAGGTTAGAAGGAAATTATCCCCAGTTAGTTTTTGCTAAAGGTAATACAGAAATGACAACAATCATACATTGACAGAGAACCCCCAGAGGTTCAAGCCAGATTCAGAAGAGGCTATGGAACGAGGGAAATCATTGCTGATGTTCGATGGATCTTGGCTGAAAGCAGAGAATATCAGAAAGATGTTTACCTGTGCTTTATTGACTACACAAAGGCTTTTCATTATGTGGATCATGACAAGCTATGGACAACATTGTGAAGTATGAGTATTCTGGAACACTTAATTGTGCTCATGAGGATTCTGTACCTGGACAAAGAGGCAGTTGTTTGAACAGAACATGGGAACACTGAATGTTTTAAAATTAAAAAAGGTGTGCGACAGGGTTGTATTCTTTCACCATACTTATTCAACCTGTATGCAGAGCAAATCATCTGAGAAGCTGGCTTCTATGAAGAAAAAGGTGGCATCAGGATTGGAGGAAGACTCATTAACAACCTGCGATATGCAGATGATACAACCTTGCTTGCTGAAAATGAAGAGGACTTAAAATATTTACTTATGAAGATCAAAGAGCACAGTCTTTGGTATGGATTACATCTCAATGTAAGGAAAACCAAAATCCTCACCACTGGACCAATAAACAACATTTTTATCAACAAAGAAAAGATTGAAGTTGTCAAGGACTTCATTCTTCTTGGGTCAACACTCATGGAAGCAGCAGTCAAGAGATCAGATGACATATTGCATTAGGCAAATCTGCTGCACAAGATGTCAGCTTGAGGACTAAGGTGTGCCTGACCCAAGCCATGGTATTTTCAATAACCTCATATGCATGAGAAAGCTGGACAGTGAATAAGGAAGACTGTAGAAGAATTGATGCCTTTGAGTTATGGTGTTGGAGGAGAATACTAAAAGTGTCATGGGCTGCCAAAAGAACCAATAGATCTGTTTTGGAAGAAGTGCATCCAGAGTGCTCCTTAGAGGCCAAGATGGCTAAACTTCATCTCTCCTACTTTGGACATATTGTCAGGAGAGACCAGTTGCTGGAGAAGGATATCATGTTTGGTAAGACGGAGGGTCACAGAAAAAGAGGAAGACCCCCCAACAAGTTGGATTGGCCAGGTAGCAGCATCGATAGACTCAAGTGTGGCAACAGTAGTGAGGTTGGCCCAGGATAGGACATTGTTTCGTTCTGCTGTGCATAAGGTCGCTGTGAGTTGGTGCCAACTCGATGGCACCTAACAACAAGTGTTGTTTCACTAATCCTTTATCCACGACCTTTGCTTTTCAAGAAACAGCCTGTGGGTTCAAGAACTCCCTTCAGTCCTACTATTCCAGGGAGTTGCTTGGAGAGCAAGGAGAAATTATTGGAGTGGTCTCTTTCCATTAACAACTGCTTGGGTAACAGAATAAGAATCAGTCCTATAGACTAGATATAAGGTAAACATGATATATTGTACAGTTTCAGACTGATTTATAAGCTAGGCTGTCTTAAACCACATTTCTTCCTTAAACTAATGCTGAGAAGCTCTTTTCACGTTACCTAAATTTGCCTTATTCTTTGCATGTCTTCTACTATCTCTTCCAGCCCCTTTATTTCATCTATTTTCCTTTCCCGATGACAGAAAACTTTTTCATGAAACTTTTTCAAGTTCATCTAGCAAATAAGAGTTTTTTTCCCCCTTGACTCTTCTAAACAGATTCTTTATCTGTTTTGATACTTACGTTATTCTGTTTTATATGACAGTCCTTTACATAGCCAGATTATTCTGGCTCCCATCACAACTCCAGATTTTAGTACGAGCTGTCTGAAAGCCAATGGATATATACAGAGAATTCATGAAAAAAATTCTATTATCTTTCCATTCCATTTTACATGAACTTATTGAAGCGCCATCTCATTAGTTATCTTTGTATCGCCTGCAATATTTGGCTTTTGCCTTGTGCATAGTAGACCATGATGGTATAATTGTTGGGGTAGGAAGAACCTACATCTTAGAAATTTTATAATTTGTTATGGAGTCCTGGTGTGGTACTATAGAATAAACACTAGACTGAACTGTGATATTGGCGGTTCAGACCCATCACCTGCTCCACAGAAACCCTATACTGGGTCGCTATGAGTTGGACTAACTCAATGATACTTAACAACAAAACAAACATACAGCCATAGAGTTTCAATATATAGAATCTAACCCTTTGTCATGTTTTCCTGTATTACTGTACCCCTCACCCCAAACATGTCAAGACTTCTGTGTATCTTTCTCCACAAAGATTCTCACATGCATACATTGGATCAGTTTTTGTAGCTAGCAACACAGGATGAAGATCATGAAGGAAATAATCCAGAAAAATAAGCAGACAATCAAAAAGTCATTCCTTGCACAGTTTAGGAATGTGGCCTTTCAAATGAAGGTTAGTTATAATTTTTAATTCTTGGTTTACTTACAATTAGTATTAAAACATGATTTTGGTTTTCTGACAAAAGATCTCCATTAATAGTAGAAATACACTGGGTAGCAGAGAAAAACGTTAGCCTGGGATTCAGTTGCAATTGATCAACCAACCCAATCATTGCTACATATTGATTGACTTTTCTTCACACTGTTTGCCAGAGCTGCTAATAAGAACCAAATTAATGAAATTTTATGAGTACTTTGTTTTCTTCTCCTTTGCTGTCATCTAGTAGATGTGCTAACAATCAGCAGAATGGATGACTGACTGGACAGGAGACACAGCCAAGACTCCTAGCGTAACGGGGAGTTAGAGTTAATATATTTATTGTTGTTAATTGCCACAAAGTTGTTTCTGACTCATAATGACCCTGTGTAGGGCTTCCAAAGAGCGGCTAATAGCTTTGAACCTCTGACTTTGTGGTTTGCAGCCCAGTGCTTATCCTACAGCACCTAGTAGCAGAATAAACAGAAATGGTCACATTCCTTTTCCCAGTATTATTTGTACACACACAGCTTGTGCTTTTCTTGTTCTTTAAAAGGAAATCATTGGTGGGATGCTGGATATAGAACCAAGACTTTGGAGGAAAGGAATCCGAGAAAGCTTTGAGGATCAGAGGAAGAAAGCACTACAGTTTGCTCAGTGGTGGAAACCATATGACTTCACCAGAAGTAAAGAATGTTGACGCTTAACCATTCTTTTTTATGTCCTCTTCAAATCCCTTTCCGTTTTATTTCTGTCACATCAACTAAACAACGGGCCAGAGCACAGGGAAGAGAGTCGTGGCAGCAGATGGCTCTGGGTCCCTTAACAAGCATTGTTGGATTGTGTGGTTTCCTCCCCACAGCTGCTTCTGGGAGCTTCATTTCAGTGACCAATAGAGTAAGACCAGATATTTGAGTGGCCCACTCACATTCCTGTTCACCTCTGAAGAGAGCAGTGGGAAGCATAGGAAAGCACTGGTTTGCTCCAGGCTTGTGAAGTCTATCGACTGTCATCTTTTATATGTTGTAGAAAAAGACTTGTCATATTCAGTAATCGTTGACATTTCTTTTTATGGGATTTTATAGAAGAGCTCTTAATTTTTAACTAGGAGCATCGAGTATTACTGCTATTCTTTTTTGTTAAAAGAAAAAAAAAAGTCACAAAGTAATAAAGAATCAAATGATAATAAAAATGTTACTCATTCATGATATGTTTGTTTTTATTTTTTTTAATAGATTTTCTCTTAATACTGCCCAGTGTTATTTGTGTCTCTGAATTTTGGTAATTTAAAAAAGTATGTGTTTCAAATAACACAACTTAACAGTTCTGCATTTGTATGAGAATTAAAAATTTTATCCAAGTCGTAATTTTTTCATTTGTATTAATTACTCTAGTATCTTAAATAATAAGAACATGTGAGGAGCATATTCTGTTGTCCCACTTCACTGAAGGTACTTAATTTTTATTTGTTCTCAGAGTTGGCATCAAGATAAACCATATGCTTATAGAATATGGCCAGGATGTGAAGGTGAAGGGGCTCCTACTTTTTTTTCCTCACTAATAGGAAAATATTTTTATAATAACTCTCTTTCAAAGATGTTGATTTTTTGGAAACCACCCTTTGACATTTTGTCATAAGATGTTGGTTACCTAGACTCAACAGTGACATTTCCTGCAGTGACTCACACACTACATAGTTACTTGTAATACCAGCATGTCAGTATCTCTTTAGGGTGTTGAAAAGAGAAATATTTATGTTCTGTCTGTGATTTTAAAATTTTATATATAAATTGAAGCTTAACAATTTAAATATTTTCAAATTTCATTTGTATACCTTTTTTTCATTTATTGACTGTGTTATTATATGACATTTTATATCTATGACAATAGTAAAAAAAAAAAAAATCTACAATCCAGCTGTTTTGCACATTAGCATGTATGTCTGGTAGTAACAAATGCTGAGGTACAAAGTAAGACTAACTCTGGCTGTGATGGTTAAGGCTATGTGTCAGTTAGCCTAGGCCATGATTCTCAGTGGTGTGGCAGTTACATAATGATGAAACTTGGCAGTTATAAAATGATGTAATTTGGCAGTTAGCTAATAATAGAGTCCTCCTCCGTTTTTGTGATCTGATGGGCTCATCGATTTTTGCATGATGCCTATGTTTCATAAGGACCTGGTCTTTGTAACCTAATCATGTTGATAACTGAGGAGTGGGTATATTTATCAATTAGATATAGCTGTTTTCAAATTCTTTTGGCTTTGCTGCAAAGTCTTAAAGGAACCTTTAACAGTCATTCATTCAATCAGTGAGTACATTTGCTTACAGAACACTATTATGTGTTGGTGGTACAAAGATAAAAAGTACTTAACCTGCTTTAAATTGTTTCACAGTTTAATAGTGAAAGTAACATGTATATAAATAATTATAGCACAATTTGATAAATTCTAAAGGGAGATTTGCACTCAGATGTATGGAGTATGTGCTAAAGGACTATTTTACACCTCCCCTCTTTTCATTCTCAGCTGCTAACTTTGTTTCCTATTTTACTGAGAAAATAGAAGCAAACAAAATAAGAATTTTCCACCATACCTATCTATCTGCATTTGTACCAGTGTACACTACTTTTCCTCTTGCTAACTGTAGATACATTATTTTGTTTTCCTTATCTAAGACCAGTCCACTCATTTATGTGCTGGATCTTATCCTCTTTCTCATCTACTAAATCATCCCCATTCTCTGTTTTTTATTAGTTTTTTCCTCCCTCTCGACAGCATTATTCCTGTTAGTATTAAAAAACAAACAAATTAGTCTTTCAGACAACAAAGACTGGCATCATATCCCCCTCTAGCCTGCTGACAGAAAAACTCATAAAAAACAAGTCTGCTGTTTCTCCTCCTGTCCTCCTCTTATTCTCAGTACAGTCAGGCTTCATCTTCACTCTTCTGTCAATACTGTCCCGTCAAGGTGTTCAAGGACCTTCCACATCACAAGCCAGGAACTGACTCTCAGTGCTCTCACTCTAGCGGTCAGCACCCTGGATTGACTTGATTACTGCCCCTTCTTGAAACACTTGCCTTCCTTCTATAAGACTTTCATTTATATATCCGTTTTCCTTACTGGCTGCATTTTCTGTTTCCTTCTCTGGTTCCTCTTCATCTACTCAACCTCTAAATGTTGTATGTGTATATTCTCATTGTCTCTTCTCAAACCTCATCAATATTGCACTCACTTATAAAGTGGTTGTTGTTAAGTGTGGTCCAGTCAATTCCAACTCTTAGCGACCCTGTATAGGGTTTCCAAGGAATGACTGGTGGGTTTGAACCACTGACCTTGTGGATAGCATTCCAGTGTTTATCCTCTGACACTACGCCAGGACTCCCACTTCTAAGGTAATCTGATCTTTCAAATAATCTCAACTATTCTTTGTGAGCAGACTTCTGATGTGGGGCTGCCGGTTAATGCGATAAACTGCAATGTCGGTTTGGGCCGTTAAGGCCGGCAGTTCTAACTCACCAGCTGCTCCTTCAAAACCCTGTACAGGGTTGCTATGAGTCAGGTCCCGACTCGATGGCACTTAGCAACAACAACAACTCTTTGTGAGCAGATTCATTCAACAAATATTTGAATGTCTAGTAGGTAGAGTCATGGTGTGGTTTAGGTAGCATAAGCACTGGGCTGCTAACTGCAAGGTCAGAGATTCGACACTTAATAGCAACAATATGTTGTAGCCACTATACTAAGTGCATGGAATATATTAATAACTAATAATAATAAAATTCCTGTCTCTGAGGAGCTTCATTGTATTAGGGAAAGAAAGACAATAAAAATTAGATAAAGTAAATAATCTCTCAAGGAGGGAGATGGGCTGTGCTCCGATGGCTTGGGGAGGGGGGGTGGGAGGGATGGGGACGGGCCTATGGGGGTGTATCCTTGGGTTATTTGATGATGCATGGAGGGAATTTTGATCATTGCAATGAAACAAAATACGATAGGATGAATGTAAAACTGATGTTCTCCCATGTAAACCCACATAATTCACAATAAAAACTTAAATAAATAATCTAGAGAATGTCAGCAGTAAGTACTATGGAAAAAGGAAAAACAGAACAGATCAAAGAGGTTATTTTCCAAATTTATATCTTTACTCTGGACCTCATCTCTTAACTCCAAGTAACTCTAAATACCAATGTAGTGCTATAGGATCCTCAGTGGACTGTGAACCAGAAGGTCAGAAGTGCAAACTCACCAACTGCTCCTATATGAGTCAGGACTGACTCAGTGGCACCTAACAACAACACTTGATATCTGTCATCGACATGTCTAAAACTGAACTCCTGATTTTCTTCCTGTTCTAGTTATTTATTACTGCTTAACAAATTATCCAGAACTTAGTGATTTATATTAACAATCATTTTATTATATTGTACAGTTCTGTAAGTGAGAATTTGATCAGAGCTCAGCTGGGTGATTTGTTTCTGCTCTCTGATGTCTGGGGCCTCAGCTGGAGTCAGTGTCTGAAGATGATCAAAGCCATGTGTCTAGTGCTTCCATTCGTCATATGCTGGGTCTGGAATGTTTAGAATCATTCCTTGGTTCACATATATATATGCACTTGAACTGGAATGATGGCTAGAAAGCTAGGTGGTATATAGAAATATACCTTTAGAAATTTCAGGGTAGTCAAACTTGCTATACATCTTCTGACTTTCTCCAGCACAATCATTTCAAGAGTGTTCCAAAAGGTAAGGAGTGGAAGCTTCCAGTCTCTTAGGTTCTGGGCCTAGAGATTGGCACAGATCCATTCTGCTGTATTATGTTTCTCAGTTCTGACACAGAGTCCACCTGTATTCAAGAAGAGGGGTTATGATCCTGTTGCCCTTGTATAAGTTCTTAGGATTGGTACCTGAACTTTATTCTCTCAGTAGATACTTGAATGAGCTATTAAATCTTACTGGCATCTTCGAAGATGACAGTTTTCTAAGGCTTGCTTTATTTTCTCTAGCTGTGGCTCCATAGGATAAACACAGGACTGTGAACCACAAGGTTGGTGGCTCAAGCCCACCAGCCATTCCACAGGAAAATGATAAAGACTTTCTACTCCCACGAGTTACAGCCTTGGAAACCCTGTACAGCGTGCTATGAGTAAAAACTAAATAACTCAACAGCAACCTGTTTCAGGACCTTTGGCATCAATCAGCATTTCAAAAAGTATTATTGATTAGTGTGTTTTGCAGGTTACACATCAATTTGCTTTTCCCTGCAAAAAATAATTCTGTGTTTAGAAAGTCAAACATATAATTCATGCAAACATCTCAGAACTAAGAGAGGAATTACTAAAGAAGCACTGAGATCAAGAAACACTTGGTAAAATTCAGGCAGTTCCCTCAGATGCCAGAGGACACAGATGTCCCAAGGATTTTTAAGAAACTTCTACTGATAGAACAGAAACACTAAACACATTCTTTGGGATGTCCCAAGAAACCATGACCCTAAACCTCCAAACCAAGGAACCAAATTCTATTTGGTTGTACTTAACAGCCTCAGTAGCTTTTTTTTTTGCCATAAATATATTTTCACATGTAACCATTTCAACTTTTTATAGGTGTGCAACTGATTGACTACAATGATTATAATCAGCTGTGTAATCCTGCCCTTAATGAGATTTTTATTCACTGTTTACCCCTTATTTCCGTCT